TTTTTTTTTTTTTTTTTTTTTTTTTTTTTTTTTTTTTTAAACCAGTTCAGTGAACAGTTCAAACTGTCTGGGGCCTCGTCTACCCTATGGCTCCAAAATCGGTTAGCTGAACTAGTTTTAAAACCAGTTAAGCTTTCTAGGAAAACTTGCCCAGCATAGACCAGACCAGTCTGGGATGATGGGTGGCTGCTGCTCAGGAGAGACACAGGATGAAACTACTGAGTGGGGGATATCAGCAGAGCTGCCTCAAGGCAAACTAACAGTCTCACTCTGTGCCTGGCTCTAGATAGGGCTCTTAGTCTCCCTTCCATGAGTATCAAATTCTGACATTTTTAAAAAAACAAACGAGATGGAGATGGATGTACTGTTACAGCATCCTTCCCTCCAGTACTGCTGTGGGCACACATGGTGGATGGTGATAGAAAATGCTATAAGATGATGTCTGCCTTGGTTTCATTAGCCTTTTCCATTGTGGCATTGTTCCTCAGCAGCACCATGCCCAGAGCCAGCCCTGCCCCTAAACACTCCTTGCCTTGAGAAAAATCACACATTTCAAAAAAAAACCTCTTGCCTCTCAAATGACCCACTGTCCTAGCAGGCATGACCAATTTTCCCACTGGCTTTGGTTTAGTCCTTCTCCATGCTGATTTTTGTCTTGAGGGGGCTTAAATACTGTGGTTTCGTTTTTAAATGAATTTAACTGAGCAATAACACAGGGAACTCAAAGATGCAGTGTTGCTTGTTTAGACTTAATTAGGTTTAAATTAATTTCTCCTCCCCTCCCCACCACATCTTTGCTCTGAGGAAGGCATGCAGAGCTTTGAAAGAAGGATCACAGCTTATGTAAGAAGACGTCGATTGATTGATGTAGAATAATAGTGACTTATACTATATAGAAGGAAACCTGCGATGAACCTACACATCTGAGAATGACCGTCATCTCACCTTGATTTTCCATCTAACCATTGTCAGTGTTTCCTGATTTTGAGTTTTATCCTTTTAATGAAAGCCCAGGCTCCAATCCTGCACAGCACTGTGCTGGTGTGAAACCTCACT